TTTTAATCACAAAATTTTATTATGAATATACCTTATTTGACATGAATAAACACATTTCATTGCAGCATTATAAACATTGTTCTTTTTTTCTTTTTAATAAGAAGACTTTTGCTTTATCACATTTTTTTTTAAAACAAGTGTGATTTTTGAAGAATCAAGTTCCACGGTTAAAGCACAATCGAGGGAGACTTAAAGAGACACCCACCGAAACCCTCCCAAAGTTGGGTCTGGTGAGGTCCGACTTCCACCAAAAAACCCCGTCACAAATCCAAAAGTCTGAGAAAGACAGACACGCTAATCATCTGCCGAAGTGGAAGGAAGTTAAAACACACTGAGAAATCCTCAGGATTCAGGAAGGAAAAAAGGCCAACCCACACAGTTCAGAAAGAGAGCACCAACAGAATCAGAAACACTTTAGATCATATCGAGTTAATATTATTCCTGAGGTGACAGCATCTGATTTTTAGCACTTAGAGCAAAACAAAGCATTTGGAGTTGGTGGTTTTTCCAGTGTTCTGAGCATTTAGATGAACTGCATTTTCATTTGTTTCCCATGTTATTCTCTGGCCAAAATAAGACAAACCACCATACCGGCATTTTCAGCCCCAAAAAACTTCAACTCGTGAATATTTCCACTCTTCTGCCAAATACAGATCTAATTCTTATGACACAGAATGTACCTTCTTCTGATGGATATTGCATGATGTATTCCCTTTAGATTTTGTGACTTCTATGAAAATGCACAACCTTGAATAACAGATATTCATATGGTACTAGAATCAATTTGTCAGAACTATATAATGCAATTTGGTACATACTGGTTACGTACTTGGTAATTACATATCTGGTATTTACTGTGTAAAAAACAATATCTACTTAGTTCCTACCCAGCACCTATAGCTACCAGGCGGTATCATGCACTGCTACCAGTTTTTTAGCATGAATGTTCAGCTGAAATATGGAATGAGCTCTTAAAAAGGCACCAAGGCTGAGTTTAGTAAAYTGAGTTTACTCACCAGAACCAGAACAGTCCCATCAAAAAAGAGGTTTAACTTTTAATCTGGTGACTGAGTTGTACAGTGATAATGCTGATATTTTGAAGCCATGTTTTTCTTGTCAGAGTTTTGACAAGGATATATTTACTCTTAAGTACAACTGAAATCATGACAGAGGGTGGTGTCGAGAGAAGTGTAGTCCATGGATCGGGAGATCAATTTTTGGAAAAGATTGACGTAAATTGTCCTGATGCATCTCAGCAATCCAGGTAGAAAAAAATTAAAAAGAAAAGAATAAGTAGGTCCTCTGGATTGGTTGTTCTTTAGTGAAACATTTCGTCTCTTGTCCAAGAGACTTCTTCAGTCTGAGTTTCAGGTGAACTCAGCCTTATAAGCACTGCCTCCACATGGACAAACAGCTTAGTCATATGCAAAAGAGGGCCATCGCCATCAAGCCTATTGTTAAGCGATAGCCCTCTTTTGCATGTGGCTAAATAGAGCTAATCAAGCCCATTGTAAGGCGATGGCCTTCTTTTGAATGTGACTAACCTGTTTGTCCATGTGGAGGCAGTGCTTATAAGGCTGAGTTCACCTGAAACTCAGACTGAAGAAGTCTCTTGGACGAGAGACTAAATGTTTCACTAAAGAAGAACCCATCTAGAGGACCTACTTATTCTTTTCTTTTTGATTGACGTAAAATCCTACATTTTGAAGGGATTGCACATCTTCCAAAAGATTCTCTCTTGTGCAAAATATTCATGATTTGAAGTAAACGGGTTAAATCACTGGTATGGTGTGTAGTTAATGAATCACAAATGGCTTGAACCAGTAAGMCTAAATAGTGCATTCAAACATCCCCGATCTGGTTTTCTTTTTGCAGCAAAGCCAAATGCCGTCTTCCCAAGAGGACGGCAGAATTAGCTGATCAACCCTTGTTATTACTGTGAACAAATGCTTTGACACCAAGGATATTATGCTTCCCAAACATCACACACGAAAGCTGAAGCACACTGGATATTTTGTCAGCCATTACCATGCAGCACGGGGAAACAATTCCAGAGACATAACGGCGTGCCTCTGTTACGTTGCATAAATGTTATATAATAGGTTTCTCCACAAGAGAATACGAGTTCAACTATATGGCACTTCTTAAGTGTTAGTAAGAGAGAAGCAAACATACCACTGTTAGTTTCACCACATTGTTTTTGTTAGGTTATTAAAGTTACAGAAAAAACCTCAGACCATGTGGAAAATCACTAATAGTTTTGGTTTTAACACAATGAAGGGGCTTTTCCATAATAGAACCCTGACAAAATGATTCATTGATTAGATTTGGAGAAATGAGTCTAAAACAAATATTGACATCATTCAGAATGATGGGACTGCTTAGCTAAAGGAAGGGATTTAAAGGATGCTAGTTTGCGATGTGTAAAGTACAGTTTAAATATGTGATTTTCAGGTTTAATACAAATAAAAATAAAAGATTTTAGCAAACATGTCAATGTGTACAGAGTACTTACACATTAACAACTATCCCCTGGTTTTGTTTTAGTGCTGTGTGTGTCGCATTTTCAACTTTCCTTCAGTAAATGGTACAGTTTTTAAATGTGATATTAGATGTAAATGACAGTAAGTGGCACCATTTTCAAACGTAACTCAACTGGAAGCATATTTGGTTATTTAGAGGCACTGAAATCATAAAGTTGGTCGTTTGTACACATCTCTTTCTCAGTTTACCAATGATGCCATGTATGTATCTACATGTAGTTTTCTTTAACAGCAGGACAAAACCACAGAGTGCAGCTGGTTTCATTAAACATGTCATGTTCTTTAGAGCTTCAGTTTGTCTTGTCTTTTAGAACTGTATATTCTAAAAATCTTTTTACAATTAAAAGAAACTACAGAGAACAAGTGATTTTCTTTAGGCAGAAAGCTGTGGGAACCCTCAAACTCTTCAGTACTTCTTAAAAACTGACATTTATAATTGTGTGAAAGCTCATTAAGCATTCATGTCAGTTTCAGCTCCTTCAGGATACTCCCTGAAGGGATTACTTTTGGTAATTGTGCAATTTATACTGTTTTAGCTGTTTAGCTTTTTTCGGCCATCTTTGCTCTCTTTGAAAATGAATTGAGTTGTTTTCAACATCTTTGAAATGCTTTAAACCCTTATAATTCTTTACTGTGCTTTTTAGCTGTTTTCTGCTATTTTTGTCACTGTTTAGCCGTTTGTAAATTAAACATGAAACAACAAAATTTTGCAACAATTTGTTAGCATTTAGATTTCTTTCTGTTTAATTCAGCAAATGTGCTCTTTATTTGCTCGTTTTGGCTACATTTTGGCTGTTTTAGTTGTTTGTTTTTCTTCATGATTTTCTGCTAACTTGAACTTGTTTACACAATTTTCTTTTACAATTTCAAACTTTACAGCTTGACATGTGGGTCAACAATAAGCCTTAGACATTTTAGAGTCATGGGGTCAAAGGTCAAGGTCAAAGGTCACCCCTAAGTTTAGAAAGAGCTATAAATCAGTCATTTTAGTACATATAAACCATAAACCTGTAACACATTAGCCAAGAACATGCTGTTCTAAAATTATAAAAAATTCAAGATGGCCACCAGAGCGATTTTCGAATAGCTTTAACTTGGTCATTTTTGATATACTGAGCTAAAAACTGGTTAAGTGCTAGGCTAGCTGAGAACGAGTTATTTCACAT